GTACCTAAACTCCTGTGATTTAATACTACTTATCTCCACAGTGAGTGTTCAAAAGGACGAATCAATAGATCCTCCAGTAGAACATGCTTAATTGCCTTTAAAAATCTAGGGGCTTTTTTAACTATGTGAATTAAAATCAAAATTAAGAAATAAAAATTACAGCTTCTATCTCTGTAGGGTTAACAGTAAACCACCAAAGAATGTACTCATAGCCAACAAATTTTCATTGGTTTGTATAAACATTATCTCTGATACAAAAATGAATAATTCAAGAAAGGAAATATAGACTTGTTTCATATTCAAATGTTGATATATGCTTGTGACATTAAGAAATTGACTATAGGTTTGACTTATTTTGCACTGATAATGAAATTTTTAAATCCTGTGACAATATAACTTACCCTCTCCCATAAATATTAGACTATTCGATTTTGGAGCTAAAGCAAGAAAGAATCCCTGCTTTTTATTTGCTTGGTTGTTTTCTACCTAACTTTAAACAAGTTTAAATATTTTTAAACTTTAAAAATATTTTTAAAGATTTAAATTTTTTATTGTTACTTAGATTTTTTAAAAAACATTGTTTGACCATTATCTTCACATTATCTTATATTCATTTTTTAATAGCAGGCATTTTCTACTCTTATAACATAAGCATATCTAACAAGTTAGCAAAGAGAGTTGTTCTTATAACTTAAGATAGCAATAGTGTTGACTGAATTTCATCTTTCTTATCACAAATACTTCTGACAGGTCGTGTGGTTTTAATTTATACTTTGCTCTGTCTGGACCTACAGATCACTATGACTTAAAAGTATGGATATATGGAAATATTTTCTGGATGTTTCCAGGCATAATTACCAAGAGTAGTAGACAAAGCACATCAATCAGTGACATCACACAGCTTTAGTGACCATCTCTTGAGACACTGATCACATTCTTCTTGGTTTTGCCATTGTTTTGGTTAAACAAAGGCAGATTGTGCCTCTTTCATCCTTCTATCCTCCTCAGTGCCTAGCTGTGTACACTGTAGATGCTCACTAAATATTTGTTAAATTTCTGGTCAAAGAAATAAATGACGGATGACTGAAGCCATACTTCTATCCAGAAAAGAGTAGAACAAACCCACCAATATGCCCTTCCTGCATGAAATGAAGAAAAAGATTCTGAAGGAAGTAGTTTTTGTCTCGAATGGCTAACCAAAGTCCTTATCAATTAACTTGATTCTCAAAATCACAAACTGAAAAGAGAAGAAAATCTGAGTGTGCCTCTGAAATTTCTTAGAGCTTTCTATTGTCCTGATTAAGAATGAATGACATAAAGTTTGGAGGATTTTCAGAGTTAAGGGTCTTTGGAAGAGTTGTTTTGTTTAAGCATTGAAGTACCATTCTCTAATCCCTTCTTTACACACACACACACACACACACACACGCACGCACGCTTTTTCTGAAGAAGTCTGGAAGTATCTCCTAATTTCAGTTCAGTTCACTCAGTTGTGTCCGACTCTTTGTGATCCCATGAACTGCAGCACACCAGGCTTCCCTGTCCATCACCAACTCCCAAAGCTTGTAAAAATAAAGTCTGTCACTGTTTCCATTGTTTCCCCATCTATTTGCTATGAAGTGATGGGACCGGATGCCATTATCTTAGTTTTCTGAATATGGAGTTTTAAGCCAACTTTTCACTCTCCTCTTTCACTTTCATCAAGAGGCTCTTCAGTTCTTTTTCGCTTTCTGCCATAAGGATGCTTTCATCTGCATATCTGAAGTTATTGATATTTCTCCCAGCAATCCTGATTCCAGCTTGTGCTTCATGTAGTCTGGCATTTCGCATGATGCACTCTGCATATAAGTTAAATAAGCAGGGTGATAATATACAGCCTTGACGTACTCCTTTCCCAATTTGGAACCAGTCTATTGTTTCATGTCCTAATTTCAGCCTAGCCTTTAAATTTTAATGCTTCTTAGGGTCGGGTCTTTGACCCAACTCTCTCCATCCTCTTCATGTTCTCATTAAAGCCCTCAGTGACCTGAGTGGTCAATGTCCTTCCAGCCTCATCCTCCACCATTCCCCTCCTCCTAATATATACTCAGGGTTCATAGATATTCATAGCTCTCCAGTAAGCACATCCTATTCTGCATCTTTTCTCCTTTGTCCATGTTATCCTCTCCTCCTGAATTGCCTTCGAACCTTCCCAGACTCACCTCTTTTCCTTTTCCCCACTTTAAACTTCCTTAGCCTGCAATCTCCTTTTCACACTTTAAGCATAGTTAAGGCATTATCATCATTCAACAGCATCCATCTACCCATCACTGCAGTAACCATAGCATCCTTTTCTGGAGTCCTAGAGCATCCTGAGAACAACTCCATTATCGTCTTTGCCGTATTTTTGAAAGTGTCCATTTTATGTTCCTGTCTCATCCATTAGACCTTGATTAACTTGGATGAAGAGACTGTATCTTCTTCTTGGTATCTCCAGCACCTCATTTGATGCCAGCACCTACAGATATTCGGTAACTATGTGCTGAACTGACCTGAACTTAATAAACTTAACTGATAATGGGGAAAATTGGCTTTCTCTTTCCTTTTTAAACACTCTTTTCCCTTTTAGAATCTGTTTCTTTAAGACTTAAGACCTTCCAGAAGAGGTAAGAATTTGACAAAATGTCCTACAGAGGTTTGATATCTCTCTAAATCTAGTTTTTTTAATTCTCAAAACCATTTTGGACTAGTCAAATGATTCTTGGTATCAGTAACTGGGAAAAAAAAAAAAAGCTTTCCAATTTTTTAACACTAAACACGTGAGGACTATATTGGAAAACACCAGAGAATATGGGCTGGGTGGGTGGACTCAGCACGTCCTTAGTATTCTGACTCATGGGGAAGCTTCCTAGTAAGGGCACTCACTATCCTATCAGTTCTAGAGAAAATATTTCCGAGCTTTTAGTTAACTGAATGGAACAAGGTGTCACATTATTGCGGGAAATGGGAGAATGCCACCACCAGATTTTTCAGGACCATCTTATGTGAAATGTGTGATGAGAATTCATCTTTGGAAAGCACACAGATGCCTCTGCCATCATGACTTTTAGTGTTGTTTTTTTAATATTTTTAATTCATTTATTTATTTGGCTGTGTCAGGCATGTAGGATCTTTTGATGTGGCACATGGACTCTATGTGGCAGGGGGGCTCCAGAGCATACTGGCTTCAATAGTTGTGACACATAAGCTTAGTCACTCTGAAGCATGTGGGATCTCAGTTCCATGACCAGGGACGGAACCCATGGTGTGGTCTCCTGCATTGCAAGGCGGATTCTTTACCACTGGGCTACCAGGGAAGTTCCTGCCATCAAGCCTTTTAGAACACCCCCCAAATCCATTGCTGGTAACATCAAAGGAATTAATAAATGGTGGAGACTGTTTACCATTTACTTGATGGCTCTAGGGAAGGATTTCTGCTTTTTTTAAAAAAAATGAAAAGAAGAAAAGATAAAGAAGCTGTAGGGAGAAGAGACCATTGTTGGCATTCCAGGTTTTTAAAAGTTGCATATGGTCTCACTGATGCAAATAAAATAATTCCAGGCAAGGCAGTCTTTTATGCAGAGACCAGTTTTGGTCTTCTGAGGCTTCTAGATAATCCATGCAAACCCAAATGAACCCATGTATAAGGTAGCTGGTAAACTGAGCACTGTGCCATGCATTCAAGCAAGGAATGTAATGTCTAATGAAACTTGGCTAAAATATTTCTACATGGATATTTTATTGGGTATGATATTTATACACACACTGGTGAAAAATCTTCTCTTTCAGCTTCCCACTGACCTTTCCAGATAATATAATCTCTGAAAGATACTGATTTTTTTTTTAATATGGTGGTAGGAAAAAAGCATTCTGCTTTCACTTCAAGCTCCCAAGTGTGTGTGTGTATATGTGTGTGTGTGTGTGTGTGTGTGTGTGTGTGTGTATTAGTTGTTTAGTTGTGTCCAACTCTTTGTGACCCCATGGACTACCGCCCACCAGGCTCCTCTGTCCATGGAATTCTCCAGGCAAAAATAGTGATTCCCTTCTCCAAAGGATCTTCCCGACCCAGGGATAGATCTGAAGTCTCCTGCATTGGCAGGCAGATTCTTTACTGTCTGAATCACCAGGGAAGCCCATTACAAAACCAAAATTAACCTCCTCCCTAATTCAAAGAAAGAGCCCTACTAAGTACAAATCCATAGCTTGTCAAGACAACCAGTTCACAAAATCAGCTCATCCTTTTCTGAATTCTTTTCTTACTGTCAGCGGAAAGTGTAATGCACTGAGCTATATAAATACACTTCCACCAATGTGTTAATGAATTAATGACTTGAGAAATACATATTTAAACTTCATATGAGTGGGAGTGATTCAGAGTTTGAAATATCTTATTGAAACATTTGGCTATAAAAATATAACAGAAAATATTTACTATGAGAACATATTTCTCATCATCTTGTGAATACTTTGGTATTAGAAAGTCTGAAAATTCCTAATCTCTTTTGCTTTCTCACAAAAGCCTTATGGTTAGTAGATTTTTTAAGATAGCACAAAAAAAGCTTTCACTACACTTATGGCAAAAGTCAAACAGCTTATCTATTTCAAAAGATATTGGTGTAGTAACATACACACAAAACTTCTTTGTCTATTTCCAAAAATCAAAATTTAATGAAAGAAAAAGTTCAGGATCTTGAAATTAGTTAATGCACTCATTATAAAAATTCCAAGTGTACAAATGTTCAAAAGGGAAATATTTTCAATATAGCTAAGAAGTAGCTTTCCAATAATGTTGAAGATTCAAGATTATTGCCATATTTGCAATACTGGCAACAAAAGAAGACTTGCATATTTAATCCACTAGCTTTCCTGTCTCTCTGAATATCAAGGAGATTAAAGGAGATTACATTCATTTACATCAGACTATGGTGTTAATGTTGAAGAACTTATTAGCCCCTTTCCAGCTTTGTGTTAGAAGTACTTACTTTCTTTCTTCTTAGATGTCCTAGGATTTAACCTCATGAGTGCCAGGAAGATTCAACAGACTCTCAGTGTAAAATCACCAATCTCAGGCTTAGATCCTTGCAACAGGATTTGTTGTATGTTGTCCTGGGCACCGGCTGTGCTTAGAGTTGCAGGGGCAATGTCTTCTATTTACCTAGGAGTAGTGAACTGCATTAGGTCTGAGCAAATAACAGCCAAGGTCTAATAGCCACTGCATTCAAAACATTTATTGTATGAAGGTCTTGTATTGTATTGTATGTGCTTGACTGGCTCAGGTATGCTTATTATAACAGACTAAGAAAAAGATTTAGATGGTGTCTAGTAAGAAACCACTATGGCAATTGAAAGATCTGTAGTCTTTCTGTATTCTAAAGATCACTACCCACCTCCTGGACCATCTTTTTTGTTCTAAGAAGGATGACCACGTTAAGATCAAAGTTCTAGGCCTATAAAATGGATAATGTAAAAGACAGGTTTCCATGTCTATCTATCAGTTCTACTGTTTCAGAGAAATGATTTCATGACTGATTCTCTGACTCACTGTAGCTTTCTATTTCTCCCTCTAAAGAATTCTACCAGATTGTACATTAAGTTTTCAGTATGCTTGTTTTTCACAGTTTCATTTCACAGATTCATTTTACATTTAAATTCTTATCATAGTTGCATCCCTTTGTTGCTGGTGGGCATTACATAGCACAGGCCTTTCATCACTCCACAGAATGGTCTTCTTTGAAGGGAGGTCCCACTCATTCTAAAGGAGGAGTTTTAATGACAAGGCTAATTCCAAAGCAAGGATTTAAAGGCTTGCAAATGACCAGTAAGAATCTAAAAAACATATCCTATTTACAGTTAGGGCTGCAGAGATAGCAATTTGGTGTCTATTTCTATCTACTTTTCATGATAAAAAAAAAACACAAATATAAATCAGCCCTTTGTTTATTTAAGAAAAACAGTAGCTGTCTATAATTAAGGGCCACATGTTTTCATTTAAACCTGAAAAATCTAGATTTATAACTTCTTCATTAAAAATTCCAACTTTGGCTAACATCCGCTTTTTAAAAAAATTTCTTCACTTAACTGGTACAATTTTAGATCAGTTAGTTTTTGCCCAGTTTGCTGCAAATGTTCAAAAGCAGCAGTAACATCTCTCTTAAAACAAAGGACTTGGTTCAGGTCTTTCATCAAATCTTTTTTTTTTTCCTTTATTTTTTATTAGTTGGAGGCTAATTACTTTACAATGTTGTAGTGGTTTTTGCCATACATTGACATGAATCAGCCATGGATTTACATGTGTTCCCCATCCCAATCCCCCCNATCAGCCATGGATTTACATGTGTTCCCCATCCCAATCCCCCCTCCCACCTCCCTCCCCATCCCATCCCTCTGGGTCTTCCCAGTGCACCAGCCCTGAGCACTTGTCTCATGCATCCAACCTGGACTGGCGATCTGTTTCACACTTGAAAATATACATGTTTCAATGCTATTCTCTCAGAACATCCCGCCCTCGCCTTCCCCCATAGGGTCCAAAAGTCTGTTCTATACACCTGTGTCTCTTTTTCTGTCTTGTATATAGGGTTATCGCTACCATCTTTCTAAATTCCATATATATGTGTTAGTATACTATATTGGTGTTTATCTTTTTGAATCTATTTATCCAAAAGTATCTGTCCATAATCTGGTCTCTAAATGCACTTGGTTCTAAGTCACTCATAGATCTGACATATTAATGCTTGCATATTAGATCATTCTGCTGTGCTGTTAAAAATACATCTTCAGTGAAATGAAACTGGATGATTTCTAATCTTTTACGTTCAAACTTTTTATGTCTTAGAATTTTCCAAGGAAATTGGTATCATTTTCAATGGGAGTGCGTTTCATGGCTTATGGGCCTGAAGATTTGGAGTTTTCTCTTAATGATTTCTGCAGGAATGACTGAGGCCGTTTGCTGTCATACACACAGTTAGTTTTGGGGACAGGAGGGAGAACAAGTTGGAGGTACTCACCATCTGAAAGAGAAATACTAGCAATGTGGTAAGAAGCAGAAACTTTCTAGTTTTCTGTTGTAATTGAGCCGAAAGTGATATGAACTGATCAAACCAGCAAATCTCGCTCAATACAGCATGAACATGGGGACTCAAGAAATAAAAAGCTGGAGAAAGAAGGAGTCTTCCTAACAAGGTTGCAGTGTGATGAGATATCACCATTTTCAAAAGAAGCTGAACTTCCAAAGAAACACACGGGCCCACCAGTGTTCTCATGGGACATTTTGGGAAAGAAGGAAAAAGAAAAATGGCAATATTCTAGCAACGTTATATACTCAGGAGATTCAACTGAACAGAAGGATGATGGAGAGAGTAGAGGTTTTCATATCTACCTTTATTAGCTTAAGAAATTTAACTTTTAGATTCATTATCCATGGTTATGTATTTTCACCATAAATATATTTATGCTATTATAAATTATAAATATCACATTATAAATATATAAATATGAGAGATACTTTATTATATATTATAAATATGCAAGAGATACATTCTCCCAGATGTACATCAGACTCTTAATGGTGACTACTTCTGAGGAGTGATATAGTGGTGAATTGGTTGGGGGAGGACTTCCACTTCTTAATTCATATGCTGTGCCTGGCTCAGCAGCTCAGTTTGTCAGACTCTTTGTGACCCCATGGACCACTGCCTGCCAGGCTCCTCTGTCCATAGGATTTCTCAGGCAAGAATACTCGAGTGGGTTACCATTTCCTACTTCAGAAAATCTTCCTGACCCAGAAATCGAACCCATGTCTCTTGCATCTCTTTCATTGGGAGGCAATATTCTTTACCACTGTGCCACCTGAGAAGCCTTTTACCTTGTATAATTCTGTACTATTTAATTTTTTATGTGTGTGTATTATGTGCAGTCAAATGTATACCTGTTTCCCTTGTAATTCATACAAAAAACTATAATATACCCTATAATTAAAAAAAAAAAACAACCTGCCCTGATCATGCATGCTAAGAATTATTTTATGCTGAGCAAGACCCTTGTGGTAAGCTTAATAACTAAAACCTCTTAAGATTTAGTTATGTAGTGAGTTTTTCTCTACCACAAATACTTTTAAAGGAAAATTCTAATATAATATGGACAGGTAACACATTGTTTTTAATGTTACTACCCTTTTTTTAAGGAATAAAAATGCAGCACGCCACTTGACCCAATCACTGCCTGCCTGGGGCTACAAGATCACAACATTGGGTTTACCTGTTTCCCCAGGAGCGTGCCATGGGCAGGAACCTCAGGGACTTTTTTTTCACTTTCCACATTTGCATTTCCCAGTGGAACACGAGTGAAAAAAACTACATTCAAGAGGGCACAGAGCCTAAAGGACTTACAACCTATCTTACTCAAAGTACAGCAAGAGCTGGGGATTAGAACTGGCATGACCAATCACTTCTATCTTGGCACCGCCATCTAAATTCTAACACCCCAAAAAAATCATCATCATCATATCTTCCATTCTGGTGTCAGCCATACTGTGAGTCACTTCCTATACTTGTCATATATATTGTGTCTAAAAGCAGGACTTCCTTGGCAGTCCAATGGGTAAGATGCGGGCGCTTTCAGTGCCATGGGCCCCAGTTCAATCCCTGATGGGGGAACTAAGACCCTGCAAACCTTGCAGTACAATCAACAAAAACAACACAAGTAATTCACCAAACTCTTATGGTTCACAAAATGTTGCAGATTAAATTCTCCTGGAGACAGACCCTAAAACAGAAGACTATGCATTGGGTGTTACGAGGTGTGTTCTTCGGATTAATATTTATACAAATGTTAAGGAAGCAGGATCGGGCAGAGGGAGCAGTTGAGCTGTAATGAAGTCCCAACAGAGCCTCACCCAGTCCTTCAGCTGGGATGACCCTGCAAAGCTGTGCCGAGGTGAAGCAAGGTCCCTCTTGCCAACCAGTACTTAGACATAGGCAGCGGCAGCACCTTGAATAAAGTGGCTGTTTCTGGCCCAGCGCAGTGACCGGAAAGAGCTACTCACTCAGCTGTGAGAAGTCAGCATTACACTCCCAGCCATGGAAGAGTGAATGTTCCCACCCTGGAGGGTGGATGGAGCAGTTCTCCACCAGGGCACTAAATACCTAAATATCAGCCTCTTTCTACCATAGAACGCTGGTGCTTAACCTGCGAGACTGATAAATTGGCACTTATTAACTGAGATTTGTTCTGTCTGGCTCGCTTGTACATTCTTAATGTGTCACCATGCATAAATATTCTCCAGTTCATTCATTAATTCATTTAACTTCATTCAATTCAAAAACTATAGGGTGAGTACCTGCAATATGCCAAACACCGCTTAGATCTGGCGATAAGAACAGATAAGGCAAAGTGCAGAAGAATGATAATCATGTTATAAAATATTTACTGAGCGTTTGCCTTGAGGCAGGCTCTGCATCTGTGTTTAATTTTCTAACAACTTTGTAAATTAGTTTCTATTTTGCTTTCTGTTTTGCTAGTTGAGGAGACTCAAAACTGGAGGAGTTTAGTACACTTTTCCAAGGTCACTCAGCTATTAATAATAAGGTGTGGCACAGGGTTTGAGCCCAAGCAGAATAATTCCAGAGTCCCTGGTCTTTCCCTGAGGGAAACAGTAACACAGAAAGACAGTCTGAATGGTAACAGAGGTAGACAATCTCTGGTATAAAGTGATACCAGCTGAGGAAGAATGTCAGGCAAGAGTGTGCAGGAGAAAGCGGTCCAGCCTGAAGGGGTGGAGAAAACTTCCTGAAAGATTTGAGTTATGATTAAGATCATCAGGGCGAATAAGAGTTAAAGAGCTTTCGAGGCAGACAGACTACCACAAACAAAACAATGAGCTAAGGTGGAACTACAAGTAGTCCAAGGTTACTAGAGCATAAACAAGCAAAGCAGGAGTGCCTGGAGGTGAAATGGAGAAGGAGCTGGGCCCGGGTCAAGGTGAGCCTGCTTGAGCTCTGCTCAGGAATGTCTGCTTAAGCCTCGAGGACAGAAAACCATTCAACAGCTTAAAACAAGGAAGGACAAGGTGGGGTCTGTGCTTCACAACATAGGGGAGCACAACATCTGTGCTCCTCATAGGGGAGGGCGTAGGGTGCATGCCATACTGAGAACTCAAGAATGAGCTGCGGAGGAGGGAGGAGAGAGAAAGCACA